AGCCTTGAGGAAGGAAAGGTAAGTGTTAGGATGGGGAGAAAATTTGGGTACCTGCACCTGCATTGATCCATAAGTAATAGTTATTGATCACTTCACTGTGTAAGCAGTAATATTTTTAATAAAATGTTTTTTATTTGAAGAATTATGCACAAATTTTCTACAGCACTGTTGAGATGAGAACCTCTATTATCCAAAACTTCCGCCACAAGAAATTACCTGATATCCAAAAAAACTCAAAGACAAAAAGTTTGCCTTGGAAAACTCAAGCTAGAAATACAGCTTGAGTTTTTAATAATGTTGGTAAATAACCTTTGCAGCAGTTAATTGTGGGTTTACTTTAAATAAACAACTTGTGTCTTTCTGTAACACTTCCGTTCAGTGACAAGTCTATTTCAGCTGGAGGTAATAGCTATTGTACGGCTTGTGTAGGGGCTCAGACTAGAAAATGGTGATGACCAATTTTGTCTTGAAGACATATGATTATATTCTGCATTTTTTGGCATTTTTAATATGAATATGTTTTACAGAAAATTTTTAACAGGGGAAAAAAACATGTTTTAGGATGGGTTTTTTTTTGTTTGGTTGCTTTTTTGCTTTGTGGTTTTGGCTTTTTTTTTTTCCTTTCAGGAAATTTTTTACCTTCCTACAAACTATACTTACTGCCTATTTGCAAGTGTTCTGAGCTTCTCTTCACATCCATCCAAAATCTGCCATTAATGACCTAGAAGACCATACCTGAATTTTATGATATAGCAACGGAAGAGTATATTGGAATACATACCTGCAACAGCCTATAACTTGGTTGCTGTAGTAAGATACAAAGTATCTCGTATTTGTAGCCTACTTGAAAGGTCGCTGATGTTAGTTTGAACTGCCCACTTCCTAGAATTTTCAGTAACATTTTAGAATGACACATATTTTAAAGGAAAGTAATAAAACAATTATTGTAGATTAGCTGTGCATTTTTTTAGAATTATGTTGTACGGTCAGGAAGCACTGTATGGTTGGCTTACGCCAATGAACTCTGCCTATCTGTGGGATCTCATTAACAGTGACCGCATCTGGACCCATCTTTTCATAATCATCGCAGCCTTCGGTATGTAATGTATTATGTGTTGCACAATATTTTTTTTAATGTGCTATTTCAGTGAACTGTACTTTTTGTATATTGAATTCTCTTACCTTTTTTAGAATCTGATTTTGCTTAGGGTTATCCCCCACTGCATCAGTTGCAATCTGGCAATATCTTCCATTCATTTAGTTCCTTTAACCTCGATGTAGGCTGTCACACAGTTGAACCTTGGCAGGGTGAGCTCATCCCATCATCTTTTTTAAGAAGATAAACTGAACGCCATGGAGTTTACCATGTGGGTTCCATAGATAAGGTGAAAAAAAAAAGCCCAAACACCAACCCTGGATGGTATCTGCTCGTCACAGAAATTTATTATCCAATGAAATATGTTGAAGGCAGGGTGTGGTTTGCTAAATTATTGCTCCTCCCACTGTTCTCTGCTATGTTTCCAGCTTCAGAGGGAAAAACACAAGCTTGTATGTTGAGTGTGAGTCATAACCTCTCTTCTGCTACTGACTCACTTGGGAGTTTGAGGTAAGTCATTCTACCTTATGTCTCAATCGCTCTGCCCCCAGGATAGTGAGGACAGAAGGCACTATGGAAAGTTATGCAATGTTTTCGTAGATGAGAAGTGTAGATATTGAGACCAATATTATTGTTACGCGGTATGATAATAATTTCATGTGCCCAAAATGGATTTTTTACATAGCTTCTTCCCCACATAGCACATTCTTTTTCCATTTTGTCATGAAAATATTTAAAGAAACAGTACGTTGTACCAAAGAACATCTTAGGTTACTGAAAAAATACATTATAATTACTGTATTTCTCAGAGGAAAATATATACACCTTAAATAGCATTTCTTATCAATTGAATCACACTTCTCTTTAGCACCATTAATGGGCAGTAATAAAGCTATACAGCGCTGCAAAATTATTGATGACTTCTGAAATAAGAGGAGGCCCTAAAGCGTGTGGTGTCTCACACAAAACTAGTTTCTACTCAGGTGCTTACACTCCACCCTGGCTGGTTTTGCGTTGCAGGGAAGTGCTAAACTTTAAGAAGTGCACTTTTAATACCTGAACGTATTTCTCAGCACTTATGATACCAAAAAAATACCCACCAGTTATCTTCTCTGTCCTGGTTTGAGGTAAAACAGAGGAGAGAGAGACAGATAAGGGAGAGCGTCTGTCGTTCGCTTCAGTGGTCAGTCCAGCCCAAACCACGACATTCTTTTATGTTAGGATGTAGATGGATTATAACTTGGCTGTTTTGTCTTCCTACTTTTGTTTCCCAAAAGATACCTGGTTGTACACTGTAATGAGACATACTAGTAAAATATATCTACTAAACCGTTAATAAAAAACTCTGCTTGTAAGTTTTAAGGAAATTACAGACTTTTTTAGAGAAAGGTGATGTACTTTAGAGAAAGGTGATAGCGTAAGCAAGGTAAAGCACGTAGCTTATGGATACCAGCACACACATGAGCCATAATTGCTGTACTTGATGGTGTGGGCAAGAGCAGAGCAAGAGGCTGTCGAACAAATCAGCCTGTGCCAGGGGAGAGAAATGTCTTTCCTACCTAGAGAAGGCGCAGGTAACACGGTGTGCCAGGTGACGGCGGAGGAAGCAGTTTGCTCTCTGGGGTTTTACTTTTGCAAAATCCCTGTCCTGCCCTTCGCGTTCCTTCGCATACTTTATGCGTGCCCGCTTCGAAGTCCTTTTTACGGACATACCCCCGTGTTACCCGTGGAGGGTTCGGCGGGGTCTCGGCGAGGGGTGGCAGCGCGGAGGCCGCGGCGCTCCACGTGTGCGCCGGACCCGCTGCGGAGGCGCAACTGGTTGACGGCAAAACAGCAACCAGAGCCCGCAACTTCGCGGCCAGC